ATCAACGGACACAGTCTCAGGCCTGCTGCCACCAACGTCCACCACCAGGCTCTTGTCCCCGTGACGTATGACCCTGAACGGACCGTCGTAAGGGGGCCGCAGGGGACCGCGGTGGGCGTCGTGGCGAATAAAAACGAAATCGGCCGACCGTAATCCGGGGGACACCCGGAAAGATGGGTTGCTGTGCTGCGACGTGGGGACGGGCGTGAATGTCCCGGCGGTCTCCAGCAGGGAGGAGCGCTGCCCGGCTGCAGACCAGGGCACAGTGGCGGTGGGAATGAATTCCCCAGGGACCCGTAGCGTCTGACCATAGACGAGCTCCGCCGACGAGGATTGCAGGTCTTCTTTGGGGGCACACCTGAGGCCGAGCATAACCCACGGGAGCTTATCCACCCAGTTGCCCGTCTATCAAGCCGGCACGCAGTGACGCCTTCATGGACCGGTGAAACCGCTCACACAATCAGCGTTCCACAGCTCCGAGGTGAACTGAGAACCGCGGTCAGAGGAGAGGTCAGACGGGGTCCCGAATCGCGCCACCCACGTGCCGATGAAAGCGCGGGCGACGTCGGAAGCTGATGTTGAGGCGAGGGGAACGGCCTCGGGCCAGCGGGTCATCCTGTCCACCATCGTAAACAGGTAAGTGAAACCGTGAGAGGGGGGAAGCGGACCTACGAGGTCGACATTGACATGGTCAAACCTCCTCTCAGGAACCGCAAAAAGTTCAAAAGGGGCCCTAGTATGGCGGTGGACTTTGGCCCGTTGACAGGCCAAGCACGAGACGACCCAGGACCTCACGTCCTTCTTAAGCCCCTGCCACACGAACTTCTGTGACAACAACTTCACGGACGGCTTCCTACCGGGGTGGGAAAGATTGTGAACCGCCTCAAAAACGGGTCGACGCCAGTCCGCAGGGACCAGCGGTCGAGGCTGGCCCGTGGAGACGTCACACCACAGCTTTGCGCCAGAGTCACCGACCGTGACCTCCTCCAGGCGTAATCCCGTGACCGAGGCCTTGAGGGTCTGGACCCCGTGGTCAGAGGCCTGGTCAGCGCCCATGCGGAGGTAATCGAGGCCCAGCTGCACAGCTCCGATGACCGCTCTGGAGAGGCAGTCCGCGACCACGTTAGCCTTGCCAGCGATGTGTCGTATGTCCGTGGTGTACTCGGAGATGTACGAAAGCTGGCATTGCTGTCGGGCGGACCACGGCTCAGCCACCTTGGACATGCAGAAGGTCAGTGGCTTGTGATCCACGAACGCCGCAAACTCCCGGCCTTCCAGCAGGAAACGGAAGTGAACCGCCAAATAGAGACCAAGGAGTTCTCTGTCGAAAGCGCTGTACTTGCGCTCCCTGGGAGTCAACTGGCGACTGAAAAAGGCGAGCGGTTGCCAGGCGCCGTCGACCCATTGTTCATGCACCGCGCCCACTGCGTAGTCAGACGCGTCGGTGGTGATAGCGATGGGGGCCCTGTGTGACGGGTGAGCCAACATGGCGGCTTCGCTCAGGGCGGCTTTGGTGGCGTTGAAAGCGACCTCCCTTTCAGCCGTCCAGTCTATGGCCTGGCCGGGGGATTTGTCCCTGAGGGCCTCGTACAGCGGGCGCATGGTGTGGGCCGCCCGGCGGATGAACCGGTGATAAAACGTCACCATCCCGAGGAACTCTCGGAGCGCCCGAGCTGTAGGCGGTCGTGGAAAGGCAGACACGGCCTCCACTTTCGACGGGAGGGGGGCGGCCCCGTCCTTGCTGATGAGGTGCCCGAGGAAATGGATGGAGGACAACCCGAACTGACACTTCGCCGGGTTGATAATCAGGCCGTGTTGGTTGAGCCTCGCGAAAAGGACCCGGAGATGTGCCTGGTGCTCTTCGGAGGAGGAGCTGGCGACCAGGATGTCGTCTAAATAGACGAAGATGAATGGCATGTCTCTGAGCGCTGAATCCATCAGCCGCTGAAAGGACTGAGCTGCGTTCTTAAGTCCAAACGGCATACGCAGGAACTCGAAAAGCCCAAACGGCGTTTTGGGGACGTCCGAGGGGTGCACCGGAACCTGGTGGTAGCCCTGCACCAGATCCACCTTGGAGAAAACCAGCTTGCCCGCCAGGTGTGCAGAGAAGTCCTGGATGTGAGGGACCGGGTAGCGGTCTGGCGTAGTGGCGTCGTTAAGGCGGCGGTAGTCACCACACGGTCGCCAGCCACCGGCTGATTTAGGGACCATGTGAAGCGGCGAAGCCCAAGGGCTGTCTGAGCGGCGGATGATGCCCAGACGCTCCATGTTGACGAACTCTGACTTGGCGACTGCCAGCATGTCAGGGTTGAGCTGCCGGGCCCTAGCGTAGACAGGGGGGCCTTCAGTGTCAATGTGGTGCTCTACCCCATGTTTGGTAGTGGCAGCGGAAAAGGTGGGCTGCGTCAAGTCGGGAAACTCACTGAGAAGGTGCTGGAACTTGTCGCCCTGTGAGAGTGAGCTGGAGAGCCCGCTGAATGACGCCTCGCCGGGGGTACACGTGAACGAGGCAAACGTCAGTGCGTCCACCAGGCGGCTGTTCTTGACGTCCACCAGCAGTCCGTGAGCGCACAGGAAGTCTGCGCCGAGGAGAGCGAAGGAGATGTCAGCCGTGACGAAATCCCACTTAAACCGCTGACCCTCGAAGCACAGGTCCACTGTCTTTGTGCCATAGGTGCGAATAGGGGTGTCGTTAGCGGACGTTAAAGGTGGGCCGTGGCCTCCACCGGCAGCGTCCTCCACGGTAGCCGGCAGGACGCTTCGCTGGGCTCCTGTGTCACAAAGGAGTCTGCGACCAGAGAGGGTGTCCCTGATGAACAGGAGCCGGTTGGATGTGCCCACGCTTGCGGCCACTACCGAGCGCAGGCCTTGGCGTTTCCCGTTACCTTGTAGGTGCAGGGAGGACGGCACATCTTCGCTTTCGCCCCATAGCGTGCATGATAATAGCACAGGCCAGGGCTGGAGTTGCTGACGTCGGCCCCGGAGCTTCTGCTAGGTACCAGGGAAGGTGCCGCTGCGTGTCGGGGCCAGCACCTCCGGGGCAAAACGCTGGGTTGCCAGGAAGAACCGGTCAGCTTCTTCGGCCAAAGCGCGGGGCTCAGTAATAGCCGTGTTAGCGAGCGCTGTCTGTACATGCGGCGGCATGTGCCGAAGAAACAGTTCTATGAACAAAAAATTAGGTTCTTCCGTACCCAGCAGGCTGAGCATCATCTCCATGTGGTCAGAAGGCTTGTTGTCCCCCAGGCTATGAATAGCGAGCAGGCGTCGGGCCCGTTCCGACCGTGACAGCTCGAAAGTCTTTAGCAGGAAAGCCTTGAACGCTGCATATTTATCCTGGGCAGGAGGAGATGTAATAAAGCCCACCGTCCGGGTCGCAGTGGAGCTCCCCAGCGCCGAAACGACGTGAAAATAGCGTGCTGCGTCGTCAGTCACTCCGCGGAGGGCGAACTGAGCTTCCGCCTGAGCGAACCATGCAGCTGCAGATGTCTCCCAAAACTCCGGCAGTTTGAAAAAAACGGCGTTACTTGCCATGCTCGGTTCAGTCTCGGATCCTTCAACAAGACTTATGTCGGGGTCACCAATGTAGTGCCGAGAGACGGGAGTCGGAGGCGGGGTATCAAAGTTACAAGCTCTACTTTTATTTAGCATCTGAACACACATGTAAACCATTTCATGCCCGGGAAGCGAAGACCGGCGGAAACAGGAAGTCCCGCTCACTCAAATGTCCGTGCGGAACAATACCCCAACCCATAGATCCGTGGGTGAATAATGTCAATCACCACAGGTTGCTCCTTCGACATTTTCACCTAAACTATTAATATAGATAGAGAATAATAGCGGACCTAAACCTGAACCTTGTGGTACACCATTAGTGATGTTTAACCACTCAGAAGACAGCCCATCAAAGTGAACACATTGGGACCTTTCAGAGAGGTAGTTCACAAACCACCCCACTGCATGGCTGGATATGCCAATACTGACCAGCCTCTGCTTCAAAATGCGATGATCGACGGTATCAAAAGCTTTGGATAGGTCAACAAATAGAGCTGCACAACTCTGCTTATTATCTAAAATACTCATAATATCATATACCACTTTCATTGTGGCAGTGATGGTGCTATGTTGCTTTCTGAAGCCTGACTGATGTTTAGACAGGATGTCATTTGTACATAAAAACTCCTTTACTTGTTCACTCACTAGGCGTTCAAGAACCTTAGCCAGAACTGACCATTTAGAAATGGGTCTATAATTGTTTAATAAGGTGGCCTCCCCTCCATTTAGTAGTGGCAGGACATAAGCTGACTTCCATACTTTTGGGATTGTGTTCGTGCTGAGAGAGAGGTTAAAAAGAGCAGTAAGAGGTGGAGCAATAAAATCTGCAGCTATCTTTAAAAAGAAAGGTTCTACGTTGTCCGGACGTTGTTCATCCACTGTTGTGGTAAAATGATACTCATAGTCTTAACATGATCATGCTACCCATGCTAACATGAACACAAGCGTTTCCCTCCAAAAATGTAAAACGTCTAAGTAATAGGCTACCAAGCTTCCCGTTGTCACCTGCCTCTCCAAAAGCAAAACTGTCAATAAAAAGTATGCAATAATGCCATTACAGCTGAAAAAGTACTTGGGTGTGTGTGTTTTAAAAAATATATATATTTACCATTCAATAACGCAATCGCTGCTGTCTGTCTGTCCCATAGAAGAACATGACAGCGCAGCGCAACTATACTACGGACGTGACTGCCCTGGCAGTGACAGCAAAATAGCCTGCTTGTGCTACCACACTTTCCCCTCAAAATATCGTTAAATAACGAAACTTAGAAATAGTGCCATACAAAGTGTAACCACATCATGTAAATATGAAAGCAATCTTTAAAAAATAACAGCGTTGGTTTAATCTATGACTATTTTGACCATGTTCGTGCTGTTTTTGCCATAGAGAAGCATTGCCACGGAAGTGCGTTTGGAACTATCCCGGCATACATAAATCACGTGACCGGCAGGCGTCGACATCAAAGAGTGTCGTAACTCTGCTAACGTTAGCTAACGTTTTACAAAACGACCGTTTTCTGCAAGATTGCCTTGTTGATCACCTAAAATGCAAAGTATTTAACTACCTAAATGTTCGTAAGATTAGTGTTAGGAAAACATTATCCGTTGCGTCGCGTGCTTCAACCATAGGCTTCAACCGAGACCCTTCCCATTCACTTTCCGGCATTAACCATTTGAGACTGTGGGCGTTAACGTGTCGTGCACGTGCACGTGATTTTGAACTCGGCAGCACAGGAGAGACCACGGCAGTTCGGCTAACAACTTAAAACTAAAGGTAAGTCCATAGACACACAATGGAGACATCTTTGTCCGTCACAATACATTGGCTAACGTCATTGCACATTGGAAATAATTATGTCTGGAATGTAACGGGTCAGTTGTGGGCCGAAATAACACAGTTTATTTTACCGCTAGCTACTAACGAACAGCTAGCCATTAGCCTCTGTTCAACACCTAGGCCATGATCTAACCACTAAGCGGCGGACAACCGGCTAACTACGTTGGCTAAGCTAACAACCACATTGGAAGACGCGAGGGGCGAACACAATCCGTAATTTACGCAGCTATGTCGTATACATCATCATCAGCTTTATTTGAACAGTCAGACTCTAGGTCAATTTTTTTAAATACATACAACACTCAAATATAATATACACATTTATGATTTACGGTATATAAAAGATCAGAGCAATGTAACGTTAATGGTCTGCCTGTGGCCTACTACTTCCACGCGTCCCCCCCGCCTGTCGCTTTTCAAAGGTGGAAGTACTCCAATACATTATCAGGGTTGCCAACTTTGGGTACCTGGCTGGAGTGAGATTTTGATATCATGGGTTTAATTACACATATGCGCACTAAATGACTGCTATCGTGTCAGTAGCGGGACCTTAGCATATATATATATACAAATACACAATATTGGACACAGAGTATAAAGGGCACAAAGTTGCATTCACTAATGAAAGTCAAACACATTTATTGTGTGCCTGTCGCGATAAGCAATTCATTGACTTATCGTATGATAAATACAAATGAACTCGATACATTTCCATTTACATGAGGATGTGACTAGCAGTTTGAAAGGATGTACTTGAATTATTATTATATATTATCATTATGTCAGTGGTCTAAAATGGTCATACAACGGTGCCGACAATATTATCGTTTATCGCAATAATTTCCGTGAAAATGTATCCAACAAAATTAATTATCATGAGACATGAAACACACACACAAATACATCTACATGAAACACACACTCAAACAAATCTACAGATTTACTCCAAACTCCCAAATATATTAATTAACACTCTCACTCTCATATAGTCTTTGACACTATTTTGGCCTAGTAGAACAATAAGCAGCAGACTTTTACTTTTGTATCATTTCTACTGGATCATAGATCTGCGCATGCGCAATACGGGTCGGGGATTGACCAACCGGCTCCCACTGCTCTGCTGTCTGTTAACGTTGTTAAGAGTGGTGGGGGCGGGGAGGGAGCGGATCGACAGCTTGAGCAGCTGTCAACTCAACATTGTAAATAACCAACCAAAAACGATCGCTGGTTCATCTTGTTTTTGGCGTGAGAATAGTTTGGGCAGTGAGATTGAGAGTGAAAGCGTGTGTCACATGCCAGATGCATGAGAGTTGGCAACCCTGACATTATTGTCAAAAATACGTAACCACAAGTAAAGGTCCTGCGTTCAAATTTCAAAAGTAAAAGAATATTCTCAGCAAAATGTAACTTAAAGTATAACACGGAAAAGTTATCAATGTGCAGACAAATTGCCTTTTTAGTGTGTAAATGTGTTTATACATGTGACATTTCTAGATTATATTGTTGCATCAAATAGCATTTTATTGTATTCGACAAAGTTCTGATTTACTTTTTGTTACTTGTGTTAAAGAGATAGTCCACTGATCACTAGTTTAATTTGTAAAGATTTATTTTGTTAAGAGTAGCTAAAGCTGAGTAAATGTACTTCGTTACTTCCCACCTCTGCCATTAGGGAAAGTATATTCCGGTTTAATGTTTATTTTGTTTCTTTTTCAGTGTGAATCTATCAGGATGTCAGACAGCGAGTCCATTAAGAAAATGTTGCGGTCTGTACTTCAGTCCAGCAAACACGGGGTGTCTTTTAGCACCCTGCAGGTAGAGTACCAGTCACTGTGCGGAGAGAGCATCCCGCTGAGGAAGCTGGGCTACTCCAAACTGGAAGACTACCTCACGAGCATCCCCTCGGTCGTCCGCATGGATTACCGCATGGGAGAGGTGAGGACATTTGTACATTCTCAAACTGCACCACTGGGAACTAACTAAACAATGCAGAGATTATTTTTATATAATTGTATTCATTAACGGTATGAACTGATTTGTAAATAGGAATACAGATTTGACTTAATCTTTTCATAAATATATTTTTCTCCCAGTTTGTCATGGGACTTATTTACCCTCTCAAAGAACCGGAATCGAGAACCGAAAATAACCGGAATCGAAAAGCAGAACCGGAATCGTTAAATCCAAACGATACCCAACCCTATGAGTGATGCAGTAAAATCTTACGTTAGCGGTGTCGTAAAAAACGTGGGAAAATACGATGGCGAAAAAGAAGATTCCAGTGGTCACAATTTTTGTGGCCACAAAAAGTGTGTATGTGTGTGTCTCTGTGTGCTTGCGTGTGTGTTAGGGCTGTGCAATTAATCGTATTTGAATCGCAATTACAATTTTGGCCTGCCACAATTACAAAAACAACATAATCGAAAAAAACTATTATTTAGCTTTGCTAATATGTGCACTACAACATATTTGATCTAATTAATTTTAGTCTAATTTATTTTTATTTATATGTTTAGTAGCTTGTGGAAGTGCGCTCAAATATTTGTTGATCTTGTTTCTTGGTGTTTATTATTTTGATTTTATTTAAATATATAATTTATTTTTGTATTGGTTTTTCAGTTGAATTATACGTTCAGGGTAATCAACAGTTAAAAAGATACTGTTCAAATTATTATTTGTTTTAAAGTTCAATAAATTGATGTTTTCAAATTCTAAAGAATAATCGGATTTAATAATCGTGATATCAATTATTGACCAAAATAATTGTGTGTGTGGCTATATTCAGAGCTCTGCTGCCTTGGCTACAATCTTTCATCATTGCATGATTGGTGTTTAGCTACGGTATTTAGCGTCTACAGCACCTCCGCTTTTAGGGTTGACGTAGACCCAAACGTCGCCCGGAGGTCCCCCGGTGTTGTTGCGGGAGCTGCTGCACTAGCTAACGGCACTGTACACCGACACTGCACGCCGCCCAGCCCACGTAAACTGACAACGGTGGGAGCCTCGCTGCGGGGAAACGGGGGACCTAGTGTCCCGATCGGAGTGGGAATAATAATAATAATAATAATCCGTGCATTTTATCCATTAGTTTCCCAACATTGTGGTAAAAAAAACCACACGTTTAATCCATGTTGGTGTTCTACAACTACAAAAAGCATCGGTTTGTTTTTTCATCAGGAAATGCAGACCGGCTCAAACAAACGATTTTTAATCATCATCCTCACGATCATTTAATGTATCATATGTTCGCCGAATTGACATGAAAGCACTAATAAATGTAGTTTCATCCACTTGAGTTTACAACTACAAAATTAATCGATTTGTTTTTATATCACATCCGATGGGAGGAAATTCAGCAGCTCTCACTACCGATTTGTAATCATCATCTTCACCACGATCATTTATATTTATGTTCGCCGAATTGACATGAAAGCACTGACAAATATGAATATACTGTAGTCAACTTCATTAAAACGTTATTAACGTGCCTAAACTCAGTAATTCACCATTTCTATGCATGACAACACACTTTGTCCGTGTTTGGCTCTCGTCGCACAGTGAAGCATTCCCTAGGGCTCGACATTAATGAAGCCTCACCTGCTGGTTGCCCGATCGGGCAATCTATTATGGCAATTGTGGAGACGTGTCAGTGCCTGACACAGGGTTCCGGCGGGGTAGCGGGAGTTGCGCAGCGTGAGCAGGCTCCTGTGAGCGGGAGCGCGCTCCTTCACTACAGACTATCGCGCCACTTAACCATTCGCCAAAATGTTTTTAATACCAGCGGTAACCGGCCAAGCACCGGGCAAAAAACAATCTTCAAATAAAAGAAAGTCACCGGAGGAGTTAAAGGAGAGTGACAGGGAGCATGAGAAGAAGAGGGAGAGAAAGTTTCAGCCAGCTTGATTGATGGAGTTGGCTTCTATAGAGTGGTGCAGTGACGCATTCTAAAACCCTTTTATCTATCGATTAGATTTATGATTCGAAAATTATAAAAGTAAGGTAGACATGTGGAGATTATCCGGCTGAACAAAACGTGCATTTATCAAACAGGTTAGTTTTCCACAGACCTTATTTCCAGCTATTTTCCAAAACCCTGTGGAGAAATCCCATTAATTTTTGTCGAGGGAACCAGCAGCTTACTTCCTGGTTTTAGGACGCGTCACTGCACCTCTCAATATGATGCCAATATAAACAAGGTCTTCTGTCTGCTCTGTACATCAATGCCGACCTATGCTGACAAGTAAGTGAAGAGTAGACAATATAAAGGTATTGGCGAAATGTCCCAGCAGTTTAGGATAATGAAGGTTCTAATCAAATCAATTACATAGCCATTACATATCTAACTCCTAATGACAGGAAGGCAGGAAGTGCATTATACAAATAATAATCAGTGTGCGAAAAAGTACACGTCCCACCGTCCGGGACGTGTTATTTACAATATCGGACAAGTAGATCTTTCAATTGACTTGTCCGGCGGACAAGTGACGTTTTTCGGCCTGATTTATTGACAAATTATTGATACATTCAGTTTACAAAAGGCAGAACTCATTCGCAAATTGTACGTGTCCGCAATTGTTCGTTTAGAAATGTTAGTTTAGGTTCTGCTTGTCGATTCCTAAGGAAATGCATCTCGCCGCTTTCTGTACAGTTAGATGGGGATGGGGGCGGGCAGTGTAGCACAGTGGCAGGGTTGGGAAGCAAAACTCGGTTCCGAGTAGGAACAAATAATTGTCCGGTACCGGGATTAATAAGAGTTGTGAGGACAGGAGGCGAGGCCGAGCCCCGCGGACTGCAGCTCTCTCGATGCTCCGTATCAGCTGATCGCTGCACAGTGCAGCTCAGCGTCTCTCTCTCTCTCTCTCTCTCTATCTCTCTCTCTCTCTCTCTCTCTCTCTCTCTCTCTCTCTCTCTCTCTCTCTCTCTCTCTCTCTATCTCTCTCTCTCTCTCTCTCTCTCTCTCTCTTTCTACACACAGCGGATCCGCTGCCCGATTAACAGCCTCATCTTTGTCAAACTTTCTTATGTTCTTTCTCTAACACATAATGAAGGTTATTAAGCGTTTTAACTCCTATGTTGTTAATATTGACCACCATTTTGACAAATTGTAAAGCACTTACGCATCACTGTACCCTGTATACCAAGGCGGTTATGCCATCACTTACTGTACGGAGGCTCAGTCACTGGTACTTTTTCATTTACAAAGCCATGTTGGATAAACTACCATCTTATATCTGCTCCCTGATCTCTCTGCGAATTGAAAGTACTTATTGCCTGAGATCGCATGCTGTGGTTTTATTAAATGTGCCAAGTGCTAGGACTGTCTTAGGGAAGAAAGCTTTTAGATGTGCAGCTCCACTAACATGGAACAGTCTGCAAAAAGAATGGAAAATTACCAAGCTAGTACCACTACATGTTTTTAAAGCTCGGTTGGATGCTACAAAATCAGATGCTGTTGGTACCTGTACTTGTGGTTAAATATGTAAATTGTAATCCCTGTACATTTTGCTGTATGATGTCCTTTTGTTGTTCTGTTGTTTATGTCTTCTTGTGGAACCTACTGCTGCAGGTCTCCCTTGAAAAAGAGATCATTGATCTCAATGGGATTTTACCTGGATAAATAAAGGTTTTGAATTGAATTGAATTTCCTTTATGAAGTGAAGCAGCCTCCCTGTCTGTGTCCTCGCGCTGTCCTCACATCCCCGGACCCCCAGACTCAGAGGAGCACAGGGATGTCAGTATTGTTTATGAAGCAGGGTATAGAAAGTACATTATTGAAATGAAAATACTATTTATTTACTTTTACAAACAGTGAGCAGCTGGGCAGCTGCAGCATGTGTATTGCAGGACATGTGTAAGCGTATTTGAGTTGTAGAAAAGCGCTAGGCCTATAGGCTATACATCTAATGTGTCATTATTATTATTATTAGGTTATGTCCTATGTGTTGGACATGTGTGGTTGGACTTTGTCTCACAGGCAGGTTGCAGTGTAACATCAGAGGAGACTGGGCCAATTGTACATTCTCAAACTGCACCACTTAGAACTAACAAAACAATGCAGAGATTATTTTTATATAATTGTATTCAATAACCGTAAGAAATTCAACAGTATGAAGTGATTTGTAAATAGGAATACAGATTTGACTTAATCTTTTCATAAATATATTTTCCTCCCAGTTTGACTTATTTTTACCCTCTCAAAGAACCGGAATTGAGAACCGAAAATAACCGGAATCGAGAACCAGAATCGTTCAAATCCAAACGATACCCAACCCTATGTGTGATGCAGTAAAATCTTACCGCTCACTTACGTTAGCGGTGTCGTAAAAACCGTGGGAAAATGTAAAATACGATGACGAAGAAGAAGATTCTAGTGGCCCCAATTTTTGTCCATTCTGGACAAGTGAAAAATGTATTCGGACTAGTAAATTGCCAAACTCACTTGTCCATGGACAAGTACTCTCTAAAAACTTTTTCTCACACTGATAATACTCATAATAATAGCAGAATTTTTGTAACAATGACCACAATATCATTATTTTAATAAACCAAATATGAACAATTGAGGAAAATGAGGAAGAACTGATGATTCAAATGTTGTAGTACAAGTAGTAATGTAGTTGGTGCATAAATTACTATTGCAACAAATGTGTTCATTTGCTTTATTAGTCGATTTTTTTTTTGGTGGACGAATGCTCCGGGCCAGTGGTTACAATGGTGTGGCCAGTGATAATACAATTCCACCGGCCCTTAATGTCTATCCCTGCTAGCGGTACCGAAGTGGGCCGGTCGAGAGTCCCGGGCTGATTTTTAGTCCCAGTCCACCACTGGCTACATGACCGTATTATCGCCCATATTGACGCACCTAATTCCTAAACTTCTAACAGATAAAACATAAACCGATCCTTCAGCTTCATATGAGCTCTCAGACACGTTCAAAATTAAACTCATCGCTGTCATCGCTTGCTGCTGTGTGCACCATCGTGCGTTTACATGCAGATGCTGGGATGCTGAATCCTGATTATTGCACAGGTGTGCCTTAGGCTGGCCATAATAAAAGGCCACTCTGAAACATGCAGTTTTGCTTTATTGGGGGGGTCTGGGGGGGTCCGAAAACCAGTCAGTATCTGGTGTGACCACCATTTGCCTCACGCAGTGCAACACATCTCCTTCGCATAGAGTTGATCAGGTTGTTGATTGTGGCCTGTGGAATGTTGGTCCACTGTATAACTGTATAGTATCTTAATTATTTAAAATACAAGGTGACTAAAGATGGCAACCGTATTTTCCGTTTTGGAAACCAAAAGCTGATGCCTGGTTGCCAGCCTGGCAACCACTTTTAAAAGTTAGCGTTGAGCCCTGTGGAGTTTTCAATCAATTCTATTTGGCAGCTGCAGTGCGAAAAAAAACAAATATCCGAATAACGAAGTTGAAACCCAAATAGTACTCCAATGAACGAATATTCGGATATTCGGGTACAGCCCTACCTGGCGTTTAATTTGCATCCCTAAACAGTGTCTCAGTCGGCTAGCATCAACACAGAACTGAAAAAAACTGCGGCAAAAGTTCACTTTTACAAAGCACATTGTGAATAATAAGTCTTCAACACATGTGCTCTTTAGGTGAAATGCTTTGCTGCAGTGTGTGGAGAGACGGCCCACATTGCTGAGCTGGTGGCCAAGCAGAAGAACGCCAAGAGGGCTGGCCGCTCCCAATTCGTCAACTGCAAGATGAGATTCAAACCGTCTAACTCGTACATGCTCAACGGTAAGAGATGCTTGTTGCTTTGTCTCTTATGTCAGACCTCTTATATTACATTACATTACATTACATTACATTGCATTTAGCTGACGCTTTTGTCCAAAGCGACTTACAATAAGTACATTCGACCAGGAAGACACAACCTTGAAGAAAACAGAATCATATAAGTATATCAGGTTTCATAGAGCCAAACATTTCAAGTGCTACTCAACTGGCTTTAGGTAATCCAGTCCTTTATTGGTATAAAAGTGCTTCGTTAATCGTTCTAACGCTCGAAGTGGAGTCGAAAGAGATGAGTTTTCAGTTTGCGCCGGAAGATGTGCAAGCTATCTGCCGTCCTGATGTCAATGGGGAGCTCATTCCACCATCTTGGAGCCAGGATAGCAAACCCACGTGTTTTCGCCGATGGGAACTTGGGTCCCCCTCGCAGCGAGGGCGCAACGAGTCGTTTGGCTGATGCAGAGCGTAGTGCACGCGCTGGGGTGTACGGTTTAACCATGTCCTGGATGTAGGAAGGGCCAGATCCATTCGCAGCACGGTAAGCAAGTACCAGTGTCTTGAAGTGGATTCTAGCAGTTACCGGAAGCCAGTGAAGGGAGCGGAGGAGCGGAGTGGTGTGGGAGAATTTAGGAAGGTTGAAAACCAGACGAGCCGCTGCATTCTGGATGAGCTGCAGAGGTCGGATGGCACATGCAGGTAGACCAGCCAGGAGGGAGTTGCAGTAGTCTAGGCGTGAGATGACGAGAGCCTGGACCAGAACCTGAGTCGCTTTCTGAGTCAGCTGGGGACGTATCTTCCTGATGTTGTAAAGCGTGTATCTGCAGCAGCGGGTTGTAGCAGCGATGTTTGCAGTGAAGGACAGGTTGTTATCTAGGGTCACACCCAGATTCCTTGCAGTCTGAGTCGGGGGAAACAACTGAGGTGCCGATGTTGATTGTCAGGTCAAGAGTTGGACAATCTTTTCCCGGGAGGAAGAGCAGCTCAGTCTTGTCAAGGTTGAGCTTGAGGTGGTGAGCAGACATCCACTGAGAGATGTCAGCTAGACAAGCAGAGATGCGTGCGACGACCTGGGTCTCTGAGCGGGGAAAGGACAGAATTAATTGGGTGTCGTCAGCGTAGCAGTGGTAAGAAAAACCATGCGGGCTAATGACTGATCCGAGCGAGTTTGTGTACAAGGAGAAGAGGAGGGGACCAAGAACAGAGCCCTGAGGGACCCCCGTAGTTAATTGACAAGGGTCGGACTCAGACCCTCTCCAAGTCACCCTGTAGGTACGGTCTTTCAGGTATGAGGTGAGGAGGGAAAGTGCAGAGCCAGAAACTCCAAGTTTTTGGAGAGTGCGAAGGAGGATCTGATGATTCACCGTGTCGAATGCAGCAGACAGGTCCAACAGGATGATGACAGAGGAGAGGGATGCAGTTTTGGCAGTGTGCAGTTCCTCCGTGACCGCAATGAGAGCAGTTTCTGTGGAGTGACCTGCCTTGAAACCAGACTGGTGCGGATCCAGAAGGTTGTTCTGATTGAGATAACAGGAGAGTTGTTTAAAGACAGCGCGTTCAAGTGATTTAGACAGGAACGGGAGGAGAGAGACAGGCCTGTAGTTTATAACATCAGACGGGTTGAGAGTGGGTTTCTTTAGGAGAGGGTTTACTCTTGCCTCCTTGAGACTGTTTGGAAAGTGACCAGAAGTTAGAGAAGTGTTGATGAAATGGGTGAGAAACGGTAGAATATCAGGAGCGATAGTCTGAAGGAGGTTTGAAGGGATAGGGTCCAGAGGACAGGTGGTAGGGCGGGCAGAGGTAATGAGGGTAAGAACCTCACTTGGAGAGAGAGGGGAAAAGGAGGTTAGTGTGTTGGTGGAAGGAAGGTCTGGTGACCCAGCGGTGAGTAGAGGTGAGTCAGAAAAAGAAGAGCGAATATCATTAACCTTTTTTTCAAAGTGGGTAACAAAGTCGCTTGACAGAAGTGAGGAGGGGGGAGGAGCTTTTGGAGGGTCCAAGAGGGTGGAGAAGATGGAAAATAGTTTTTTAGGATTGGAATAGGAAGATTGGATCTTATCTTGAAAGAAAGTGCTTTTTGCCTGAGAGATCGAAGCAGAGAAAGAGGAGAGGAGAGCTTGATAGGTTAGGAGGTCGTCACGGTGTTTGGATTTCCACCATTTCCGCTCTGCTGCCCTAAGGACGGTTCTATTAGCACGCAGTGCATCATTTAGCCAGGGAGCCGGAGGGGACTGACGAGCCTGCCGAGATGTCAGAGGACAGAGCGAGTCCAGAGTGGATGAGAGAGTAGAGAGGAGAGTTTCTGCAGCAGAGTTTGGAGGCAGTAGTTGGAACGAATCAGAGGAAGGGAGGGCTGAGAGCACCGACGAGGCAAAGGTAGAGGGAGAGAGGGAGCGAAGGTTACGGCGGACAAGTGTAGGATGGGAAGAGATTAGTTTGTTATGTTTGGAAAGGGATAGAGAGAATGAAATGAAGAAGTGATCGGATGTGTGGAGCGGGTTTACAGAGAGGTTAGAAGTAGCGCAGTTCCTTGAGAATATGAGATCAAGGACATTGCCAGCTTTATGAGTCGGTGGGGACGGAGAGAGTGAGAAAGCAAAGGCGGTTAACAGAGATGTTAGTTCGTCTATCTTCCCCATCTGGAGGTTGAAGTCTCCGAGAAGTACAGCGGGAGGGCCAGTTTCAGGGATGTGTGAGAGGAGATGATCTAATTCCTCCAAGAAGTCCCCCAAGGCGCCTGGTGGACGGTAGAGAACAACAATGGTTAACTGTATAGGATGGGTTACTGTGACGGCATGGAACTCAAAGGTGGAAGGAGTAAAGTTAGGTAGCTTGAAGAGGGAAAAGCTCCATTTGGGAGAGAGCAGGAGACCAGTGCCACCTCCTCTGCCAGTGGGTCTGGGTGTATGGGAGAAGGAATATGCAGTGGAGAGAGCTGCTGGGGTGGATGTGTTGGATGGAGTAATCCAGGTCTCAGTGAGAGCAAGGAAATCCAGAGACTGCAGGGAGGCGTAGCCAGAGATGTAGTCAGCCTTAGGAACAGCTGACTGGCAGTTCCACAGGCCACCTGAAACTAGATGATGGATCTCAGTGAAGCACGTGGGATAGACGAGAGCAGGCCGGTTATATCGATTAGGAGATACACGGGGCCAGTGATAATTGCGAGAAGACACATGAACAGGAATGGAGAAAATACACATGATTATAGCATGAGGGGCTAAACAACAAAAGTAAAAATTAAAAACGCCAACGATACTTAGCTCAATCAAAGTAGGATTTGCCTCCTCTTTGCCTCCCTCGTGACTCCTGTAGGACTCTAATGTCTTTGTCAGTCTTACTCCCGTAGGACTCTAATGTCTTTGTCAGTCTTAGCCTGTCTGCCGCTGAAGCTGCCGCTCCAGGAAAGAGCTACCCGAAATGGACGCCTGATTGCTCAGTTCTCACAGCTGAAGTTAATTAGTTAACTATCTACAGCTGATGGGCGACAATAGACTGGCCCTGCCTATGTTAATAATGCAGGCTTGAGTGCTGAGAGCTGTAAAGCAGGTTTCGCCTGAGCAGATCTGAGATTTAAAATCTCTCAAAAGCGATTTAGCCGTTTTAGCTACAGTAACAATTATACAGAGTCGAATAAATGAAACCGAGAAGTCTAATTAAACAAGAATATAACTTACAGTGGTTGCTGCGTCAATAGGTAATGTTGTCACCGGGTCCAGATGCACACTGAGTTCATCAGTTATATCGGCAGTAAGAGTTTTTTTATCAAGACAAGGGATGAGAGTTGCAAACATTAACCTCGTAAATCATTATTTGTGATTCCATATAGTTCCTCAAAGCTTTCTCTGTGTCTCTGCTCCTTTTATCAACCTAAACTAACCTATACCTCCCTGTCCATGTATTTAGTGAGGCCACGGTCTAGTCTCCGCCAACCCATAGTTGGTGGTCCCTCTAGCTGGATAGCAAACCGCTCTCGGTCCGCTGCAGGCCACGGAGGCTACAGCGCTAGCGCCTCAGGAAGCTACAGCGCCTCAGGAAGCTACAGCGCCTCAGGAAACTACAGCGCCTCAGGAAACTACAGCGCCTCAGGAGACTACAGGTAACAGGGTTCGTACGGGTGCTTGAAATCCTTGAAAATGCTTGAAATTTGACGTGGTGTTTTCAAGGTTGGGAAAGTGCTTGAATTTTGGGAATGGTGCTGGAAATTGAGATAAAGTGCTTGAAAATGTAAATGCTTTACTTTTACAATAAATTGCTGTCCGACTGAATAGTTCGCTTTTTAGATTAAAAGAAAAGAATTGCTTCGCTTCTACATAAAACAGCTCCGCTGCACCTTCCCGCGCTATGCGCGCGACCTGCAAGTGTTTGTGTGACCTGGGCATTCTGATGAGAGTGATAGATGACTGTGTGCCAGGAGGTTGCCGTTTCAACGAGCGTTGGCTAGCAGAAGACAAATACAAGCCATGGCTAAGACGAGGGTCAAGCCCACGAGTAGCCTCCTGCAAAGTTTGCAACAAATAACGATGCGAGAGTCTGCGCTGACGAGCCACATGAAAGGTACGACGTAGAAGAGCATTTTAGATTAGGCTAACGTTGCATGTTACGTTTGTTTAAGCTAACGTTAGCTAGCTGAATAGCGAACTCGATTGAGGGATAATAATAATTGCAGGGGACAATCATTTCAGAGGAGCGTACCTATGTTATGTGCGTTACAGTCGCCATCGTGTGGTGTTCAGAGGATGAAGCACTCACGGCATTTCGTGTTATCGTCACGAAATCTAATCTATTGATTCGACACAGAGCGATTTTGAAAGCAATGTATTTCTACTGGTGGTATGTTTCGTGCCTAAACCAAATGTGACTTGCTCTATCGAAATCAGTCACATTGACCCGAAGACACATTTTCGTTTGTATTACTGGTCTGGGGGAAGTTACAAGCTTCAAAGTTGTATTCATCATCTGAATTTGCCGAAACAAGTTTAATATTCTGAAAGCCAATACTTTGTTTATTTGAAAACAGATGAAAACAAACTGTCTTTTATATAAAATTGAAGTATTATACAAGTAAAACTACATTTTGCTTTAATGCCATGTAATTATAGAATGAACACAGTCTTCCTTTGAAGATGTATAAGTCAGGTGTCTTGAGTAGTCAAAATTACCTAAAAATCATTGTACACATTTGTAAATATTATTTTCCACTTGTTACCATTGTGAGTCTATTTTTATGCAGCTCTGCGTGATTTTGTGGCTACAATTCAGACTAATACACTACCAGAGGTGGAATAACTACTCAGATATTGTACTTGAGTAAAGGAATAAGTACTCAGATATTGTACTTGAGTAAAAGTAGAAGTACCAGAGTGTAGGAATACTCCGTTACAGTAAAAGTCCTGCATTCAAAATGTTCCTCAAGTAAAAGTAGAAAAGTATTCTCATCAAAATATAGTGAAAGTAGCGACAGTAAAAGTAGTCGTTGTGCAAATTGGTCCATTTCAGAATAATACATATGATATGTTTTATAATGATTGATCATGAAAGTGTTCTCAAAGCTGGTAAAGGTGCAGCTAGTTTGAATGACTTTGTGTACTGCAGGGTAGCTTGTGGATTTACTCCAGGTGGAACTAAAGTCTGATTTAACACTTGGTTATATTTCACATCATTCATCCTGATCTGTGAAGTAACTAAAGGTATTAAATACATGTAGTGGAGTAGAAGAACACCATGTACCTCTGACTTATGTTTACTGCCAACCTAAAAGTACCTCAAAATAGTAATCAATAATGTATTGAAAAGTTATTTGGCTGATTGTTTTATATTGGCTCAGACAGGTTATATGGGATGCCTAGTCTACGTACAGATCACTCATTTTTAAATATTAAACTTAGTTTTATTTTCTTTAATTTTTCATCCTCGTGTAGAATGCTATCACAAAACACACATTTGGTTGTTTATAGCATAAAGAACATCTGAGTTAATGTGAGGTAGGGAAATAATCATTTGAGTATGTGTATATAAATATGTAATTTACAACAGCTGTAAGATGCTTGAAAAGCTGGAAAATGCACCTTGAAAATGCTTGAAAAGTGCTTGAATTTGACTTTGGAAAAGGTGTAAGAACCCTGAGGTAAACAATAACATATTAAATCAATAATGATGAGCAGTGGCTGCACTTACAGCGTTATGGGGCAACATTGATTATACATTGTCTAGCCACTAAAAAGCAGCATTATTATTACATTTTAGTCAGTTATTTAATTTCAGTTCTTGGAAACCCAAAGTGTTGGTTGCTTTCTGTAAAAAGCACTCTTTGAATCTCATGCTTCGAAGAATATGTTTTTTTCAAGGCATCATGTTTAAGTGATTTCCAAAGTGAATAAACCAAAGTATCTGCTTGTGTTCTCCCCAAACATCAGGCAATTGGGCCGAAGCTTCAGCTCTCACGTCCCTGTCCCATACAGACAACCCGTTTTTCATCATGCTCCTCAACCGACTTACCAACCAGCCCCTCGAACAGCTGTAGAACATTGTTTGGTGCCTGACAGGTAAACATACACATGTGGACCATCCCTTTTCCCACCATAGCCTAGCATGCTTACAACTGTTTGTCTACTACCCTTTACTAAAATATTGCTCAGGGCAGCTCTTTTATTATATTTATTGTTTTGATTTACAGCTTTGTTAGTGTACAAAATGCTCAATAGACTGTTCTGTTGCCAACAGGAAAGAGAAGAGCTTGGCAAACGTTCAGAAGCCCAGTGGTAAGTTGGACCTGCTTGGTGTTTGTCCTTATCAATTTCACAACGTTTATTGATTCCCTTTTAGCCAAAACACTGGTAATTCAGTCATATTATTTATAGAGCAAAATAATTTTTATAATGGAAAAACCGTCATCTTATTTCATATGTCTGTTTTATTTTTACCTTTTTTTTTTTTGGTCAGCCATAAGCACAGAAATAAATTGTTTCCAATAAAACTGATAGTGATTTGATTTAAAATAAAAACATTCAACTGAGAAGCTTAAGGCCCTGACACACCAAACTGACACTAAAGAACACGTCCCGACGGACCCGACTGTTATGTCGCTTCATGTCTCCTGCGTCTTGGCCAAACAGTCGCACTGCCACACACCACCAATGCTACAGCTCGAGCCAAGCAGCACAGGGATGAACTATGCCAATATTTTTAACATTATCGGTGCAGTGCCTTTTCAGTGGGGAAAGATATAGCAAAAGAATAAACACAAATAGCAGGATGGGCACATATATTATGTGCCCATCCTGCTATTTGTGTTTATTCTTTTAATCACACAGCGTTAAGAAAAATGTGCCTACATAACTGTCAGTTGCAGCCCTAGCATTATTATTGGTTTAACTACGAACAGTATATTTTAAAAAACATTTTAAGGGTGCATTCACACCTAATAGTCCGTTTTCTGGTGCGCACCAGACGACAGTTTGTTCATTTTTCAGAAGGTTCGGTTTGCATTCACACGGGCAAAACTGTGTGTCAAACGTTTAGATAACAAAAATATCTTTATTTTTTTTAAGCTTTAACTGACATTTTCACAAATAAAAAATATACATGCAATACAAATGTATTGCACAATAGCTGTGCTTTATTTTAACTGAGCTATGCCTGTGGCAAGCTATTAACCAGTTAAGCCCGAAGGTCCCCCCAGTGGACCCCTCCCACAGTTTTTTTTCTCTCGCATGTCTCAGGGCTTCTTAACATTTATGAAACTATTAATGTTTCATACCCTTTTAAAGGTAAGAAACTCCGCTAACTGACAATAAGAACAATTGTCAGCTAAAAAAAACACAAGAGTAATACCAAGCCTTTGAATTAGCATTGAGCGAAACAATGCTAACTAATGCTAGTGCTTTTTTACACACAACACACGGTAGAAATGCCCTTATTACTATCTTAACTGCACAAACAAGATATACGATTTAAAGCTGAGACTCCACAGATTCCACACATGTAATGTCATCACTGTCCGACCTTGAATTCCTGGAGCTATCAGCCAGAAAAGAGAAAGTAAACAACATCCGGTTCCAAAAATATTACAATAATTACGTCTTACCTTTTTTGATTTGTGATCAAAAGTTGTGTTCAACGGAATAAAAACGCATCTCAAGGTTAATCCAATGTCTTTGTGTCACGTAGAAATTTTTACTGATAATCCATCATCATATTTATGGCAATATACTGGGTATAAAGTATTGCCGTCCAGGCTTGCACTTTCAGATATGCTTCGTTTGCTTCTCTATTACGTCCGCTATGGTAATGTTTACGTAGATTTGGGAACTGCCCATCGATTCTATTGGTTCTGATGGTTAAGAAAAAGGTGTAAATCACACGAATCGACCAATGGGTTCCAGAGATATGGTCCTGCGCAAATTATAAAGAATGCCAGCCAGCGTGCCAACATTACGCAGCCGACTTCATTTATTGTTTACAACGTAACGAAGCAGGAAATGCCCAGAGCGCACGGAGCACAGAGCGGACAGCAGATAACGGAATTGCAGTTTTATTGCTTATAGATTATCAGAACATTTCAAAGGGGACACAGCCACATTGGATATTAATCTATGGATTAACTACATCATTGTTTTTATCGTTTTAATGCCATTGAAGACCAGTTTAGACCAGACAAAGAGGAAGGTAAGCCATGTTAGCCTAACGCATTAGCGCTAGCGCCATTTGTTTTGATGTACGTTTTTGTTGATAACGTCGCAAGTTTGTATCTTTCAGTGTTGGGCTGTTCAGGTGGGCACCGTTAGATTCTGTGTCTCCTTGCGATCATAAACAATGTGTTGGATGTGCAGCTAGGATAAGTAATAAGGGAGCGAGGAGTGATTTTCGGTGCTGTAATAGGTTAGCATTTTTCGCTCGGGCTAATTCAGAGGCTCACTGTAAGAGTAGGCCTATGTTTTTTTTTTATTATTTTTTTTTTTTTTTTCACAACAGTTGTATTTGGATGGAACAAATACCTATAGTGATAATTCAAAGTAATAAAATGATTTTTACAGTGAAAAAGTTCAAATGGAACCAATGGTTCCCAAATTACCCAGAGGTGAGTCCGCTTAGACTTTATTTTTCTAAATCTCTCTAAAAAGGTCAAATTTCACTTGTTTTGCATCAATCTTGATACAGGGTACTTATTATATGTTATAGTTTGGATTCCTAAAGCTTTTAGTCTACTAACCCATCATGCAAGGGTGGTTTTCACTATAAGTAACGTTTTTTTTTTAGGTGGACATTAGAATTTACATGTTTTTACTATGTTCCATCTGAATTTACTTTAAAATAAAAACATCTATATTGATTCTGACACTTCTACATCCAACTCACAGATGTAACCTTGCTTTGAGAAAAATAATTATTAATTTACCCCTTTTAGAAGTGAAGATATATCATTTGTTGTGTTAGTGGCATTTTCGAGCCTGAAACCTGAAAAACAGGCTCAGGGCTTAACTGGTTAACAGGCATTACACTGTGCCTTGTCTTTTTCTTTTTTTAGTGTAGTGGAGCATCACTTTAGAGCGTTTACCGCGATCCATCTTTGGTGTTATGAAGTGACTGAGCTCGTGAACTGTCTACGGGAGGGCGGGGGGAGCCTCGCTGCGGGGAAACTGTGGACCTCTGTCGCCGCAACTTACATGATGCCGTTTAAAAAAAATAAGGGCGGTGCCGGTGTTGTGTCAAATGATGCACCCCCGTCGTGAAATGCACCCCTTGACATGGGAACGCGCATTTGAATGTATAGTCCGCTATTCTATGTTGTCTTTTTGATGGTTGGGTTGTCGAATCCTGGATTTTGCATTCATTCGTCACTTATTTTTCAGTTAATGTTTTATTTAATATATGTTTTTATTTAATTGTGACGTCCTGTCTGTATACTTTTGCTTGTACTTGTGCTTTACAATGTATTGTTTACATACCCTCCAGTGTGGAGGGTATAGTGCTTGAGGGTGGGATTAATAGAAGCATGTTTTGTGAACGCAGTCCGCACCAGCAATGAACCGCTCCAGAGTTTGCAAGCAAGCACTCCGAGACCACCTATTTTAGCGGACCAGAGTCCGGTTGTTTAGTTCACTTAAGAGGTCTCGGATTGTGTTCACACCGACCCAAATGAACCGCACCAAGCGGCTAAACGCACCAGGGTTTGATTCAACCGGACTATACAAGGCAGGTGTGAACGCACCCTAAAATGACCATCTTGAACAGCTACAACATTAAAATACTTCTAGGCAGATTGTGGAGGATAATGGGAGAATGAAGCCAACCTCACGTATGAAAGGTTACATGTGAATAGAGGGGCAGAAACCGTCTTGCAAATTTACATTTCAATCTTGAACAATGAACAGTGGTAGACAGTAACAAAGTACATTTACTTAAGTACTGTACTGCTCCACTCCCATTCAGGTAAATAGTTTACTTTATATTGCGCTACATTTATTTGATAACTTTAGTATCTGAAGATTCAGAATACTAAAAAATATAATCAAGAAATAGTTTGTATTATTATAGGTTAAGATAAAATGTTATTGTTCCCATGGTGAATTTCACAAGCTACCCAGCATTATATAATGTAAATGAAAAATAATAGCCGTCTGTGTGCCTAATCGTTTGTTTGCGTACCTCACTTCCGTTTCGCTTCTCATGCACTGATTCGCTAAGCTGAACAGCCTATCGGAGTGATTTATTTTGCCGACAGCCTCAGCTGCCGATTCAACTTGGTCAATCGGCAGCGGAAGGTGTCGGCACGGCCGAAAAGACACGACGGTGCGGGACACCAATCTGAGTAGGGCGACAGGACGCTCATCGACGGCCGAAATCGGCTTGGTGTGTCAGGGCCTTTTAGATGTCATGTTGTCTTGTCACTGTTGAAACACACAGTTGATCCCTTCCCCACCACCTGTACAGTATTGCAGACAAATGTATATCATCAACGTTAGGCAACACTGCCAAAACAAAAATCATTTGACTAACCAAATCCTGCAGAATCTGCCCCAAACCGTTTACAAATATCAGCACTTAACTTTTTCTTCTCCCTTTGCAGAACATTTCACAGCAAAGCCTCCTGAAAAGGTCTCCAGCCTTGGTCAACCCAAGGTACAAAATATACTTACTGTCTCATTTATCCCCAAATAACTGCTTAGATTTATCAATGAAACCTTAATTCATAAAATGTGTATGCCTGTTATTGTGACTAAATCAGAGTAGTGATCAATGTGAAATCTCCCCATGCAGTCCGGTCTGTATGACATGGAGCTGATGCAGAGCAGAATAACTGAACTCCTGATGATGTACTTCAGTGGATTGTGGCTGTCTAAACTATCAGCCGTCTACAGCGATATGTTCAGTCAGACGCTCCACCCTCAGGTGCTCATAGATCTGGAAAAGTGGACCCACATCGCTTTGGTGAGTCAGTCACTCTTATTTGTTCATGTACAAATAATTATACAGTAAATAAAGCCTTGTGAGTATTGTTTGAGGACTATACAAATGTTCATCTGGCCTTTTTGGGGAAGGGTGAAATTATCTGATGCTATTTTAGTCTACTTTTTTAGTTTATTATACTTGCTAAAACTGCGAATACATGGGTAAAGAGGGTCCATCAAAAGTATTCTCAATACCTAGACAAAACTTGAATAGGAACTGGTAAAATGTCCTTCCTCCTCGTTCTGTCTCCCGTCTGGTCCTCACAGGTGGAAAAATCTCCCAGCCGATTGGACCGCCTCGTCTACCCTCCTCTGCCCCCTAAGACTAGTACTGTTCGTAAAAGTAGCATGACCAATGGGGCTCCAGCACCACCCACCGATTCAAGAAGTATCACCAAACCTGTTTCTACCTGTCCCCCAACATCCGACACAACTTCCTCAACCCCCCGCTGTCCTATCCCTGTCCCTAAACCCAGTCTTTCCCCCTTAGCTAAGCCCACCTTCCTTTTTCCTCCACAAACTGTCACTTTCTCTCCATGTAAACCATTGTCTTCAGTCACATTGCGCAGTCCCGCCCGCAACCCAGCACTTGCTCCACATTTGCAGCGCTTTGTTAATCTAGTCAATCCCAATGATGGTGGAGATAATCACAACTTTCCTACAACTACCCACATCCAAAACAGTCGTTCCTTCGCCCCTACCTGGACTTGCCTGGCATCCACTAAAGCTCCTCCATCAGCTTCTTCCCTCCATCCTGGCCCTGAGATTTTACCCCTTTTAAAGGTCACCTTCGCCTCTTACTCTGAACCTGTTCCTTGCCCTGCCTCGAAAGCTTCTGCTGATGTTGTGCCTGCTGAGGTGCGTCAGAGAATAAAGGAGCTTCTGTTAAAGTACAGTCAAGGTCTGTGGGCCCACGCTCTGCCCAAACTCTTGATGGACACATATAAGACGCCATTCCCCGAACATGTTCTGAACAACTTGTCTCTTCTGCTGGATATATGTACTGTGGAGTACCCTGTTCCACATGACAAGAAGAAGGTAAGTACACAATGTACAATATAAGTAAATCCTCAAGAGTAGTGCATAATTATTTAGTCCTCAGTTAATGCTCTCTCACTACTGAGAAGTGAACCTTGAAGGCGTGGAATAACTCATCACTAACCTGATTTTTTTGGTGTGGATAAAATGTGGATTGTTTCCAACAGAAATAATGATTTAATTTCTGCCATTACCTTGTATTATTAAGGAAGATGTTAGACATCCTTCCTCTCACTGATATTCTTGAAAAACTGTATACATTCTTGTGTTTGTTGTTGATGTACTCTTCTGTTCTCAGGCCATCCTGTATTACTCCAGTAAAGCCGACATAAAAGCCGCAGACAGCCAGGAAAGCCAGCAGTGTAGACACCGTCTCCTTCCCTCTGGTCTGGAGGTCCTGGGGTCTGCGGTGCCTCAAGGTCTGCTTCTTCCAGCGGAACAGTACCCTTCTGTGCTCGTCACTGAGGCCAAAGGCAGCAATGTTGTTACGTTAAGGTGAGACGCACAAGTTGGCAATATCCTTTCCTGGAGCTAATAACAGTACACACATCAGAAGAGTCGTTCATCAGCCAATGGCAAGACCTTAAATAATAAATTAAAGCTTTTTGAAGTTTATTTTGAATGAAAAATATTACCTTACAGATCATGTAGGTGTCAGTAAACCACATGTTGTACCAACAATATAGGAATATTGCTTGCTCAGTTGTATTTGATTGTGAACCGTTGCATAACTCAGGAAAAGACACTAGCATATCTGCTAGTGTTTAATGTTTAAACTACTGCCAATTAGTGTTGCACGGTGTACCAATACTTGAAAGGTACCGCGATACCATGCCGTTATAAACGTTACGATTCCTCCGTTTCATTAGTATCGGTATTTTAAGAATGACAGGGAAAAGTACTCCGGTGAGAAAGCGCCGTTTTAATAAGAGCCGTGTGTGTTCAGCGCTCTGCTTCCACTCCCTGCACTGCAGCCGTGCCTGCAGTCCCTCCCCTCTCAAGCACGCTCTAAGTCCCTCCCCTCTCTCGTGCACTCGGCCACGCGCTAGCTGCCAGAGCATGTGAGAAAACAAGAAGCATGGCTGCAGGTGGGAGTGCAACTGCCGCTGCGCCTCGGCTTGTTGACAAAAAAGACGCCAGAAGCTAAATTTGGAAGTATTTGAGCTATATCTCTGACAGTGAGGGCAAGCCTACGGACACCACGAGGCCTGTCTGTGAGACATGTTTTAGATCCCTGCAAACCAAGGGAGCCAACACATCAGACTTGGCTAAGCACCCGCCAACCGGCATCCAGAGCTGTTTAAAGAATGTAAAGACAGACAGGTTAGCGAATGTGATAGATAACATAATTACATCATGCTCAAGCCATGCCCTCAAATCTAAGTCAAACAAGTGTAATTTATTTTGTGACAAACGAGGCAATTACTGGCAATGATAACTGTCTAATATGGCTATCTTTTTAGCTAACTTACCAATGTGGCGAACATCTGCAATGTACATTTTGTCAATAATTTTTTATATTACTGTTTATATTACATGTTAATAAAGTATAAAGTTAACTATCAAAGAAATCACATAAACTCAAATATAAAGAAGAGACCATGTTGTAAGAAAACACTGATTTTATTGATCATGAAAATAATAAAAGAAAAGTATCGAAAAAGAATCGCAATTCTTGATTTGGTATCGAAACCAAAATGTTGGTATCGTGACAACACTACTGCCAATCTAAGCTCAATCCTAAAAATAGCTGTGACTGCATTTGTTCCTGGAATGCTGATTGTAACCTTTCCAAAAGAAAGCCAGATGTTAGTGCTCTTTTTTTTATTCAGTGGGTGAAGGGATTTACAAACTAAATGTAAACTACATGTTTGCTTTGTTGCTTTTGTTAATGCAACATCCAGAAAACTGTTTTTGATTACTACACTTTTACATTACATTGCATTTAGCTGACGCTTTTATCCAAAGCGACTTACAATAAGTGTGTTCGTCCAACAAAATACAACTTGAAGAAAACAGAATCATATAAGAACATCAGGCTTCATAGAGCAAAAACATTTCAAGTGCTACTCAACTGGCTTTAGATAAGCCAGTCCTTTATTAGTATAAAAGTGCTTCGTTAATAGTTCTATCGCTCGAAGTGGAGTCGAAAGAGATGAGTTTTCAGTTTGCGCCGGAAGATGTGCAAGCTATCTGCCGTCCTGATGTCAATGGGGAGCTCATTCCACCATCCTGGAGCCTTCACAGATTAAAAACTTTTTTCTATTTGTTTAGGTATGTAGGTGAGAACTATTCCAATGCCCAGGAGGCCATGGAGGAAGCAATGCGCACGTTCTACAGCCAAGGCTCCACCCACCATCCTCTGTCTAGACCTGTGATTGGTCAGCTGGCAGCCGTCAGAGGGGAGGATGGAGAGGACTTGGCAAGAGCTCAAGTCATCGAGATTCTGACCCTTAACAAGGTCAAGGTAAGTCATTTAGTTATAGTTGTATACGTATGCAGTAGGGGTGTAACGGTATACGTATTTTTACCGAAAATATTCGGTGCGGGCCCTTCGGTTCGGTACACGTGTGTACCGAAGTGTACGAACGAATAGAACGTTAAATGTAAAAAATTGAGAACGTGAACAACTTTTTGGAAGTAATCTCAGGTGCTGCGTCGCAGCATTCAGAGTAATTTGCTCACATTGGGTTCAACGCGTCATAGAGCGAGCAAGTCATTTAATTGGACGAGAGGCATACTATGAGAGCTGGTCAGAGGGATGCGTTCAAATGTAGTCAGTAATTTGAGGAAATGGCGAACGCAGATAAAGTTGAGCTCGAAAATCCTCCAGCATCATTGAAGTCTCCGGTTTGGGAACATTTTGGTTTCGCAGTTACGTACAAGGATGACGGACAAAGACAGGTGGACCGAACCAAAGCTGTTTGTCGGCATTGTTCAACTAAAATTGGTTACGCGGCTGGCAATACATCAAACTTGCACACTCATTTGAAAAGGCATCACCCGAACGTGAATATCACCGGTACCAAAAGAAAAATTACTGAAGTGCAAACCCAACTCCCACTAGCATTTAAGCCTCCACCACTCACAACAAGTTCAGACCGAGCCAAAGCTATTACAAACGCCAAATATCCTTATGTTGCCATGTTAGCAAAGCGCTACCTGGCTGTATCTGCTGCCACTGTCCCTAGCGAGAGGGTTTTCTCCACATCAGGAGACATTGTTAGTGCCAGCAGATCTGCCCTTTCAGCAAGCAATGTGGACAAGTACATCTTTCTTTAAACAACATGAAAATACAATGACAAGCAAGTCCTAATGTCAAGCTGGCTGCTTAGGTACAGTAGTACAGTTCAAATACAGATTATTTCAGTTCATCGAAATGCTGCACCTCAATGTTTATTTTATTATATTTTGTATTTATTCGAGTGAATACATTATTCACAGTTTAATAATAATAAAAAAATCCCCCCAAAAATATTTTATGTTTTGTGATCATTTTTTCTGCTGTACCGAACCGTGACCTAAAAACCGAGGTACGAACCGAAATGTTTGTGAACCGTTACACCCCTAGTATGCAGCCATCTAGAATATTCCCTCTGATGATCGTTTTGTCTGTTTGCCAGGTGTACTATGTGGACCATGGCTTCTATGTGGAAACCAGCGGGACTAATCTGCTGGATCTGCACCAGGACTTCCTCTCTCTGCCCTTCCAGGCTTTCAATGTTAGACTCGCAGGTACATAAAGGATAAGTACTTTATATTACTTTAGGAACCCTTTGTTGTGCTAATGATGAAGATAAAAGCACCCATGTCACAACTGAAGGAAAACATATTTATTTTTGTTCAATGGCCCCTCCTTTATTTTGCCTTGCTCAAAGGTCTCGAGGCATTTGGCTCCCACGCACTGGTGGTGTTATCTGTGGAGAAGTTGGTAGTCGGAAAAATTCTGCTGATGGAGACGTTGGAGCCATGTCAAGAGAATGAGACGCCTGTGGCCGTTCTGTACGACACGTCTCAGGATGATGACATCAACATGAACTCTGCCTGCCGGAAGGCTCTCCAGGACGACACCATGAAAAACCCTCTGACTGTAAGGGGGGTGCTGCAAACTACACGTATTGTGTGAATGCATAAGAGTATTGAGATCCCATCTCTTAGAATAGCAGGCTTGACCAAACCTTTGCATTTGAAAAGCCAATTTAACTGCAGCAAAGGGGGGCTTCTCACATTTATTAATATCTCGTGACATTACACCTCAGCTCAACCAGTGTGTGGTGCTGTTGTCTTCTTCTCATCATTTTTGACTTGTGTTTGTTATTCACTAAAATAAGTCTTATTCAGTTGGAATGAAAACCAAGAGTTGGTGAATCATGATCTTTGGGTCCTCAGTGTCATTAATCCTCTGTATATTATCTAACATCATTTTTTCATTTGCCTGTAGGTAAAGGCTACCTATCAGGATGTGTGTGTCACAAGTGTGTGTGCAGATGGTATCATCTACTGCCAGCTGCCCTCCAGAGGAACCGCACGACTCAACAAGTTAATGGAGGAAACGGAGACCTTCTTCTTCTCCCAGGTTATCAAGACTGTTGTTTGCCTCAGCGTTTGTTAGGATTGAATCATTTGCAGTGATAGTATAAAGAAAATCATGATTAGATATTCAATTCCTCTCAGGTAAAGGTCTTTATGTCTTTGTTATTGTTTCTACCAGATGACGTCTGATTTCTTGGTGTCCAGACCCTTCAGTGGCAAGTTCTGCCTAGCCCGTCACAAAGGAATGTGGTCCAGAGTGGAGGTAAGAAGAGAATTTAAATCATCATTTCTTGAAAAGCTTGATATGAAAAAGCTTAAAATATGTTGGATATTTAAAGTATAGTGAAAATCATATTGTTTGAGGTCATTATTTTGCACCTACTTGCTTGTTGTCTTGTTCTCAGATCACCAACATTTTTGGCAACAGAGTGATTGAGATCCTCTTCATCGACCTGGGTGTCCAGGCTACTATAGAGGTCACTGATCTCAGAGAGATCCCCTCTCTTTTCCTGGAAAACTTCATCATCATCCCACCACTGGTCAGTAGTTTTTGTGTTGTGATCACCTTAATCTTCAACCAATCACATGGCTGGAGAAGCATCCCTTAATTTGCACATTGATTTAAATCTTATTTAACATGGCCTAGTTGAATACGCGATTCTGATTGGTCAATTCGGACATTTCAGAGGTTAATATTACAGTAGTACAGACCGCTGTTAAGCACTTTAATGACTGTTGCTAAGGAGGATCGAGAGAGAAAAGGAAAGAGGTTTAAAGACGGAGCGCTGGACGTCTGATAAATCGACAGAAGCTGACAGACGGGAAGTAAATACTAACAGGAACACGGTATGGTCTCTGTAGTGTTTAGGGACTTGTTAGTGGACAGGCACAGAAAAGATCAGAGCTGCCTTCATTTTAAATTAAGTTGTTGTCAGAGTTCCAGCCGTTGGTGCGCCGTGGAGCAGAGTTTTGTTTCCTTAGCAGAAGCAATACGATAATTTTCCAGTCAATAAAATCATTTCAATTAATATTGGGATTCAAGTCGTGTTTAGTATGTGGCCGTGTAAAAAGCGGGAAAATGTGCAGCAAGGCGGTCGTTATTGGAAAAATAACACCAGCGTCGGGTTCCGTGATCTCCCTGAAGGGAAGACCGCTGCACATTATCGGCTGCGGGTTTTTTTCTTCACGAAACTGTGTCTCAGGGCTTCTTAATATTTAAAAAAAAACCTATTAATGTGTCATACTCACTTAACCTGTTCAGCCCCGAGCCTGTTTTCCAGGTCTCAGGCTCGAAAATGACATTTCCAGAACAAATGACCATAACTACACTTCTAAAAGGGGAATCATCTTTTTTCTCAAAGCAATGATAAACCTGTGAGTTGGATGTAGAAAAGTCAAAATCAATATAGATGTTTTTTATTTTAAAGAAAATTCAGATTGAACATTGAGCTGAGTTTCTTCCCGTTTAATGAGTGACACATTCATAGTTTATTAAATGTTAAGAAGCCCTGAGACACAGTTGAGTGAAAAAACACGGAACTGCTTAACAGGTTAAGGGCTGAATCTGGAATTTGTGGACAAAGAAGTTGAATTGCTGTTTTGTTGAACATGTCATGTCATTGTCACAGTTAACAAACAGTTAAAATCTGTCTGATAAAGTTGTTTGTGAAATGTTGACGTTTTTTTTGTCCATCTCTTCAGGCTCTGAAATGTCGCCTGGCTGACCTCACAGTCCCAGAGGGAGACTGGAGCCCAGAGGCCGTCCGGTTTGTGAAGGAGGCTGTCCTGGGCTCTGATGACTGTAAAATTAAGGTAATGTCCTTTTTTTAGGGCAAATGCAGCCCTTCCAACTATTACAAAAGTGTCCCTAATGATTGAATGCCTGAGTGTATGTTTATTATAAAGGCTTGACTGCATGGAGCACAATAACAGTGTAGCAGGAGTTGTTTTAATCTATCTCCAAATATTCAAAAATATAAACGCTGCAAATCAAGTTTACAAGTAAAGCCCTATTGAAGAACAGTGCAAAAACAACCACTATCATCTCAAGGTCTCTCTAACAATGTGTGCCTTTTTTGTTTTTTACTCCCTTTGTTCCCTCGTCACAGATCCACAAATTAGACCAGCACAAAGGGGACTGTCTGATCTACATGTACCTCTTCATTGGGGCTGACAGTCAGGAGCTGGACAAGAGCATCAACCATCAGCTGGCCAAGTCACAGCTGTGGCAGCAGCTCACAACACAGAACAACAACACCAACAACAACACAATCACCAACAACACAATCACCAACAACACAATCACCAACAACACAATCACCAACAACAATGGCGGAGTGGATTCAGGTAACACTGCACGACGGCAAACGCCAAGTCCCGCCAACTGTCAGCATTTGTTGCATGAACATGTCTGGTCAAATGTTGGGCCTTCTTGTTCTCCAAAATGTCCTTCTATATGAATGAATGTAATACAGATTGAAATCACACTGACAATGAGGTTAAAGTGCTAACTTGGCTTTAATGTGATGGTTTTGAATGTACCTGTGTTTTATCAAATGTCCAGGTCTGAGTGCTTTAGTGGAGAAGTTGACTCCCGGCCCGGCCCCTTACCCCATCGCCAAGACTTCAAGCCAAGCTGTTCTCGGGGCAGGGGCAGGTCTTCCAGATACGACCTCCAAAGCTGGGATGCAGCCCCTTCCCCTGCCTCCTTCACTGGACTTCCCCCAGGTATGTGGACACAGACTCACTTTCTGTAGGGGCTCACTTATCATGCAAGGGAAGTGTATGTAAATGATGTCATTGCTTGTTTTTTGGGCTTTAATCAATAGGTATAAGAACTAGGTATTTGAATGGAAACACATTGTTCTTATTCACATTTGTCTGCATCACACAGATGTTCCGATCACTTAAAAAAAAAAACGATCAAGAGCCAAACTCCTTAACGCCACAGTCACCACACTCCAAACTGACAATACATGTGTTGTGCTTGTAGACATTCACATTTCTGTTGTATATGATATAAGAAGTTTAAAAAACAACTTGCAGCTTATGGTCATACAAGCATTAACCACCATTCCAATATACTTTACACGTATTTTTACTGTAGAATAACTTAACCGACAGAAATAGAAAATACATGAATAAAAGCTTTGTGATAATATGTCACACCCTGTCTTCTTTCAGCCTGGTCAGAATATGGATGTGTTTGTGCCAGTGGCCTGCCACCCCGGTTACTTTGTGCTGCAGCAATGGCAGGACCTGCATAAGCTGGTGGTGTTGATGGGGGAGATGGTTCTTTATTATAACCAGTCGTCCAAGATCGACTCCTCTGCCCCAAATATCGAGAAAGGAGGGATCTACGCAACCAAAATAGACAAGAAGTAAGTGATTGTAATTGAGATGTAAATTGTCTCATGGTTACATCTTTCTGTACACTCAAAATGATGATAGGTCAAGAATGTCATTAGCTGCTTAACAGAAGATAATCTTAATAGATTTCAGAGGACTTCAGGATATGGAGGTCATATTAATAGCAGTCTTGTGGTATGTGAGGATGAATACATTCACTGGAAACCAATTATAGTGAATGGTTATAGTTATACACTTTTGATATGGTGCAAAATGCTTGACAAAGAATCGTTTTTATGCAAATGCATTTTAAAAATTCAATGTATAGTTGTCAGGTTGTCTTTATACTGCTGTAATTCTTCTTTGATTCACCTCCTTGTACTTGGCCACTTGGTCATCTGTCTGCTTTCCATGTGGCTGCCCTCATGAGGCTGGTGCTGCTTGCAAACTGACATCAGGACAGTGGAAAGAAAGTTACTTTCTAACTCTCTAATAGCGCCCTCTTCTGTTAAACCAAATATAAAGGCCTTTATTTGCCAAGGAGAGATATTGGAACAAGTTAAATAACCATATCAAATCCTTACAGTCTCAAAACAGCATTGAGGCATTTGTTGTTTAATCCCTACTGGTGATGTCATGCCCTTCTTAAAGTGTAACTGCTGATCTTCAACCTGCTTCTCACCCCAGCAGTGCTTTATGAGGGAGAAAGGCAGATGAACTGCCATAGTCAATATGTGTTTGTTTTTTTATAACTTCCCATTCATGTAATGAAACACACATTTCACTTAGTTGATGGTCTGCTTTTGAAATAAAGATTACAAAATAATCAACCTCGTATAACGATCATTTTGACCCTGCCAGGTGTGATGACTACAAGAAAGTTCTACTGATATCTGCCCTTGTGCTGGTTGTGTGTGTCGCACAAAAAATCTGCCATCTATTTTGTAACGTCATGAGGAAGACTTTTTTTACAACATGTTGGTTGATGGCTTAACTGTTGCCTGCCTCCACCTAGTTGGCATCGCGTGCAGGTGAAGGGGATTCTGGCCAACGGCTTGGTTTCTGTCTTCGAGTTGGACTACGGAAAACATGAGCTGGTCCGCAGCACTTTCCTCCGGCCTCTGATCGAGGAATTCAGACAGCTGCCCTTCCAGGCTATCACTGCACAACTGGCAGGTGAGTCCCATCATAAGGCTCTCCTACAAATATGTCTTTTTTGTCTTTGATTCTGTAAAGAGATGCGTTTGGATTACTCGATTTCTGCTCTGCAGGTGCGACGCAGCACCAGTGGTCAGAGGAGGCCTCCATGTTGTTCAGGAACCACGTGGAGGACCGAGCGCTGGTCGCCCAGGTGGAGAGTGTGTGCGAGGTCAAAGGTGAGCTCTGGGAGTGCAGGTTGTCGGTTTACCTGGTGGACACTACAACTGAGGAGAGGGACCTGTGGATTCACAGCCTCATGGCCGACATCGGCGGAGAGCTGTCTTCGGCTGCCTAGGACTTCTTATCATGCACCATGGTAAACAATTGTATCTTTGAAAGCCAAAAAGTTGCTTTCTCGGCCCTCGGTTTGATTTCAGCGTTCTGGATTGATCTCCTAATCAAAGACTTTGAATAAGCACGTTTGAATATTTCTGTATTATTGTTAAGGGCCATGTCAACGTGAGACAGGAGGGGATTTTTTGAGTTACCTGTATGTTGCATGTTTTGTCTTTGTACTACTAAATTCCACCACTGATTTGTTCTTGTTTGCTGTGCTTAATGCATTCTGCTGTGTGGTTTACTTTGCTTGCTTCATTTTGTTAATATGTTTTTACATTAATCAATATTAAATGACTTGACAGCCTTTATCTACATTTTAGTTTGAACCTCTCAGGAACAGCTTGATTATAGTGTGACTTGGCTGAGAATAAGTTGTAATGTTTTACTGTTTCAACATTAAAGTTGTTGGTTAGCACACACACAGCTGCTCCACTCTCAGGGCCTTCACACACTAACATCATCCAACATGACTGTGGAGGTGATGGAGACGCCTTCTGCTGGTGGAGAAATTCTAAGACTGCAGTCACAGTACTGAATCCTGATTGGATGACCGCAGATCCTGGTTAAAATGACAGAAGCTTTACAATTATCTATATTATTCATATGTTTTAGTCCTTACTTCCAGGGAATACGTTTTGGGTAATAAAAAAAAAACATAAGATTTTCCTTTTTTTTAACCAAATCTTAGAAAAGCAGAGTGTCTAAAGATGATTTGAGTATTAAAGCTTTAGAATTAAAAAGATCTTGACAAAACAATTGAGCAGATGCTTGATGGCTTGAAGATAGCATGCAGTTGAACATTTCTGCTGTGGTTCAAAATCTGATTTGTTTATTTCCAAATCATAAAAAATGGCAATCTGTTGTCTCAATTCTTTTACATTTATTAACTTAAAAATAATATTTTCACAACTTAATTATATGTATTACACAATACATGTATTAATTGATTACAACTCAATTAAAGAGTTTAATAACGATACAAAACGTCCCTTTTTGATGTCTTTTATATATAAATGTGTCCCCGGTGTGTAAGGAGAATCACAAAGTTTCAGAAAATACAACCCTCTCATTTCCTCCTTACCCACATCTCTAAAAACGCGGGTACAACGGAGTTGATCCAGATTTGCTGCGGACTTGACGTTAAATTCGAAATGTGTGCTGGCTTTACATTGAACTCCTGGCAACGTCCCAACCTATCGTCCCCATAAACAGGCTGGATGCCAATTGTAGTGTGCTAAGATTAGCCAGATACAGGGTTCCTACGGTCATTGAAAACCTGGAAAAGTCATGGAAATTCAAAATGCTAATTCCAGGCCCTGAAAAAGTTATGGAAAACAATATTTTTCCCAACGTTTTGGAAAAGTCATGGAAATGTAACTAAAGTTGCATCAAATATAATTTATATTTTATCTAATCGCGGAAATAGTAATACTATAATGATGATAAATACTGTATCGTATAGTAATGAAACGTAAAATGGCATTTAACTGACGAGGTATTTTGCTGGTGAGAGATTTTAGTTGCTTTGTTTTGTTTTAGATAGGCACAACCAGAGTTCCCGTTAGAATATTTTTTCGCCGGTCAACATGTCCGTTAAAGTTTACATCTTCCGGACAAAATGAGAAATGTGCCGGTCAAAGGTCTTTGTTATTTATTGAGCTTTAAAACAAATTTATATGATTCAATATTAAACTAATTATAGTAGATTAACTACATTATTCAAAAGTGAACAGTAATTTACAATAACACGGGAATAATAAACGGAGCGCTCTCTCCTGACAGCCCGTCAGTATCATGCAGCTCGCGGATCAGTAATGAGTGACCCAACAGTCAAACTAAACATATCTATAACTAGTTACGGTAGTTTGAGAGGTCATTAAAATAGCTACGTGTGATATTCTAACCTGAAGTGTGTGTTTTGTCCGCTCACCGCTGATCATGCAGAGCTGCGTGTCGACTCGTCAGCAGCAGCTGATCTCTCTCTCCCGTCAGATTAGACTTCACTCGCGTTTATGTCCATATCGATCAGATCTAGCTAGTTCTAGCTAATGATAGGACTACCTGCTTATTAAAAGACACCTAAACAATAAGTGTCGCTATGCAACTGGGTGAGGCCACAAAGTATAGCGCAGCATTATGCATTTGTTTACATGCCCACCGGAACCCCGAGGCATTACCAACAGATCAACGCACAATCAACCCATACAGGACATCTCTTTCTCCACATTAAGTGTTGGACATTATAATTGACTATTCTTGTCTGTCACATAAATGGTGCAAATTGCGCAACTGATGTGGTATTGCGCTAAGAGGAAATTATTTTGAACGGACACTGACCGGAGAGATTTAGATTTGCCAGTCTTCAGCATATTTTACCGGTCGTAGTCCGGTAATTACCGGCTAACGGGAACTCTGGGCACAACATGTTTCATATGCAGACCTTATTCTCCTGTTCCATGTTAAAATAAACCATTTTCAGTGGTACCGATGAGAGAGCAATTTGGTCGTGAAAAGTTAGGTAAAGGTCATGGAGAAGTCATTGAAAATCATTGGTGAAAAAGTGTATGAACCCTGCAGATGGAAGACTATTTTAGTTAATTTAATATATTTTCATGTTGTGACCTATTTACTCAAAGTAGAAAATCAAAATATTCATTTGAAATGGAAGCACTAAAGTACAATAAATAGTAATACAATACTGCATGTTGATTTGTCTTCACATGATCACGTGATATGGAAGCAATATAGAAATCCAAGAGGTTTTGTGAAAAACAGCAATTTTCTTAAAATATTCTGAGAAGAAGCTCTAAAATCCAAGAACACAAATTGTTTTATCGTCAAAGTAATACTATTGGGATGAACTGGTCCAGATGACATGTAAACTATTGGGAAAAAACTGAAGCAATCTCTTTTTTGTCAAACCAATTCTGCAACGATAACAAACTGTCTCGAGTTGTTCAAACTTACATTAAGGAGCAGGCTTGTACATATTTCACGTTATAGTTTTTTGACTGATGGAGAAATGTGTCCGATAATGGACACAGTTCCACTCGATGACATCACTGGAGTGACAGGGCAGCCGTGTTGGGGGGAGGAAGGGGAGGAGGAGGATCTCTCCACATAAGTTTACTTTGCCCTTTACGGGAGACGAGTTGCTGCCTCTGTAAACCCGCCGAGAGACGAGCACTGACGGGGGAGGAAACTGTGAGCACGCTGAGAAATCTGCTGCATTCGGGATTATCTGGACGCTTTCTGCTGGTTTTGAGTTTTCTGCGGATTCCCGGTTTTTGCGCGTGCTGCAGAGCGGACCGCGCGGCGCGACTCCAGGCGGCTCTGAAGGAAACCATATCTGGTCAAAGTATTCGTTGCTGTCACCCAGCGGGACTGTCCGGCTATAAATAGCGCTGGAGGAGGTACGGAAATAAATGCAAAAATGATACTGCAGCCTGTAAAACAGTCAAATGAGTGAAGTTCACAATATCTTGGTTAAAATAATGTGCAGGAGAACACCTAAAGAAAGCTGGGAGTAATCCGGTTCCTCCATGTCTTTGAGTATAAAGGGGGCTCCTCCAGAAACACTGAATAGTTTTTCTTAATTTCACTGCTAGTATTTTCCTACATGTTGGAGGATATTTTATTGACTGTTGTAGGCTCCACTCTAAAGCCCTGCACAGATGAGGTCTTTAATGCAGTCCTTATCACATACAGGAGCTACTTGATACAAATAAATCAGTAAAATGTTCTGTTATGGCAAATTTGACCCCAGTGATACAATTGGTTAGTGTGTAATAGTGATTGTACATATATATTCTCAATATAGCTTGCGGTATCTCTTAACGTCTGTAAAAACTTTAGTAAAAGTCACTGCAACAACAACAACATACTTTTGAGCAAAAGCTTGAGCTAAATTGGTTCATTTTCCAAGGTTTTTGATGATTTAAAAAAAATGCACCATTTATAATCAGGATTACAGTTCTACTCTTGTGAGATGGAACAGTTGCCGGCTGACATGTTGGATGTCAGTTCCTCTGTGACCTAAATGCATCACTGTAGAGTAAATTGAACCCTGTAACCTTTGTTGCTTAGTACATTTTGGTTTTCCACGTACTTTTCTTGAGTATAGCCATGCATACTCTTGTGGTTCACTGACGAGACAAAACTCAATCTTTAGTCGCCTCACTTTAAGTTGTGAGCTCGCTGTTGCGGAGCATTTCATCAGCATCTTCTTTTTTAACATCTCTTGGATATGTATTGTATCGCACTAGCTATCTTGAAACGAAACTCTGATCAGTGACACACATTACTTTTTGACCTTTGCAGAAGGCACCAAATAGCGGTCCTCAGGCCCCTTGTTATACTCTTTATGATATAGGCCTACGACTGGTCCCCAAAGTGGAGACTAACGACACAGCACACATAACCATGGGTTTAGTTTCCTCCACACTCGCTCGGTGGATTTCACATACTGTAATAATATCAATCAATGATGAGAATTTGAAAAAGAAACCTTCTGTGGTCTACTAATCTATTTTGGTAAGCATCTATCTATGCATTTCACTTGTACTCACAACTATGTAAGTGGACACCCTTGTTACTGTCACAGCAGAAAACACACACACACACACACCACACACACACACACACACACACACACACACACACACACACACACACACACACACACACACACACACACACACACACACACACACACACACTCTCTCTCTCTCTCTCTCTACTGTAGCTTATCACAGCCACAGGCAGGGGAAAGCTGACCAGTTGCCTCTCAGCTGTTTTATGCTGGACGATTTCAGAGACCATTCTAACAACTGCAATTCTGCGAAAAAAGTTTACACATCATGTTGAAACAACACTTGAATTCATAAACAACAGAAGATTGATAGCATGAAGCATGATGTCTTATACATGATTTATCCCTCTAGGAATGTTGTTAGTAGCGGGTTAGTATTCCCAGGTTGACCAGATTAGGACATTTATTCCTCATTAGTATCATTGTTTATGACTAGTATCTGTCATTGGAACCTCTTTTATATGGATGAAACTGAAAATTGTTTTCATTATCGATTAATCTGCAAATAATTGTATGTTAATCGATTATTTGTTTAGTTTAGACAAATGTGCATCGTAGTTTTTCATGAAAATAGTGGTAACTGGACTCAAACATGAAAGCAATATATCTTTGACCTCTCAAACTGAAGAAGTTATAAGTGGAATACTCACACGACACTTACTGTACTACATGTGATTGTTTATCTGACAATGGGAGCTGTTTGAAGACATTAAGCAGGAAGTTGTCCGCTGAATCATCTAAATATCCACTGCAGTGCCCTCAACTCTGTTTTATGTGCAGATTTATTGGCTGAACAAATCTTTGGCCGCTCTAAGAGCATGTGAGTTTTCCAGAGATGTGTTTTACAACTGAAAAGCTTGGAGCGGGGTTTACAGTTAAAATCAAACTGAAATATATACAAATACAATTTCTGGTAGAGCAGGCACGCAGAGCATTTTGTTGCAGGAAAGCTGACTTTTGCAAATCAGGTTTAAAACATATTTAATCTACATCAATTTAAAAGTTTCACACACATCAAACTTGATGAATGGTTCTGCTGCTATTCTTGGAGACTTGAGGACTGGACAA